TGGCTACATTAAAAGGACATCGCTTTGGTTTCTTTGTCGATACCATCCTCTCATGCTTGCTCCATACCATCTATTTTGTACATATATTCTCTAGAATTTACCACACAAGTATGTACACCTTCTGCATGTATTAAGACGTCTGCACGACATTCCTTCATCCTATATTTTAGTAATCTGTCTTATATCAGTTACCATGTAGTATATGAATATAGGTCAAATCACAACAAAGCATTACTTTCTTGGACACATATCGGTTTCCCGTAAAGATTAAGGCTCTTTATTTACGGACTTCAATTGCATTAAAACGTGAGTTGGAAAACCCAAAAGGATTTTCACAATGTCAAGCGATCATCATTAAACGTTTCCCGAAACAGTCTTTTTGCGTAGGAAGCTGACAGTCCGGGGGATTTTTGGGTTACTAACGCGTCATGGATTTAGGCAGAGCAAAAGATTGTCGATGATTGACTTCGATTAACCGTCTGAAATGGCTGCCAGTGCATAAGGAGATACAGATTTAACTTAGAATTAACATATCGGGTTGAAAAATGTTTTTTAAGATAGGTGACACAAACGATGATGCCGGAGTTTAAGGGTAATTTGATTGCTACATACAATATGGCTTATAGAAAAGTTCAGAATAGGTTTTCCAAACGATAAGCCATGGTATTCTAGCTTGTATTAAACGCAATAAAAAAAATTTTGATTAGGAAAAATGGTAAAAAAGCATAGAGAAGCTGAAGCCTACACTTATTCACATCCTCAGATAAAAAGTATTTCACAATTAGCATACAATGTTGTTGTTGAAGTGCTAGGGATAATCTATGATTGACTAGGTTCGATAGAGAGCATTAAATATTGGTTGCTATTATGTAAAAATGATTAAAAAGTAAAAGAATATAATAAATGGCATAGAATGAAAGGGTAATTTGCTATATCACCCAATTTTGCAACAAATTATTAACCTTTATAACAGGGTTTTACTTGAAACATGAATGACCTACAAGGTAGTCAGCTTTTGACCAAATTTGCTTCTTATTATCAATATCTCCAGTCCCAGTCTCGGATGTTGCCAAAGGTAGTAAATCTTTCCAAGAGCAAAGGTGACAACGCCAACTTGAAGTTGCATTCGTAGATCTCTTAGCAAATGCACTCTTTTCAGAATGGTCATTCTGATAAATAAAAATGAGTATATAAAATGTTTAAGAAAAGTAAAGTAGGCTACAAAAGCCGACAGAAAACGCAAGTAAATTCAAGTGAATAAAGAAATGAAGAATGGTAGTAATGAATGAAAACGAACATTATCGAGAGATTCATAAAGTTTGAAATTATATTATTTACTCAAGAATATAATGCTTTAATAAGCTAATAATAAAGCATTATTTCGTCATTAAATTTTAATATACTTTAGCTAGTTTAATAACTTCGTCTAGTTGAGACTGTATGGCTTAGTTATCAGTAGGAAATAGAAAGAAACCATAACAAGGAAGTTTCAAACAAAACTATGCAGTACAGGATAGAGGAAAATCGCAAAGGAAGTCTGAATATTAACAAGATACATTCGGCATAAAACAGAATGAGATATTAAAGTTACTTCACCCAAAGATAATAGCCTTCGATTTCAGACCTAGAGGGTAAATGAGTGATAGAGAACAGGAAGAAACAATAGAGCGAAAAGATTTTATCAGCAATTAACTAATACATCCTAAAATCACACTAAGAACAAGGGAATAAATATCGTCTGCAATAGAACCAGTTAGGCTAATTTAGGAAA